AATGGGCCAAATCAGCCTCTGGAATGAAACTCTAAGCATTGCTCTCCCCCCATCTCTGCCCAGGGCATTCTCTTCTGTACCAGCGAGTGTCTGAAAGCCCCTGCGGACCTGCTGAAAATCTACCTGCACGAGTGCAACCGGGTCTACAGAGACAAGCTGGTGGAAGAGCAGGACTTCCAGGCCTTTGATAAGCTGCAGGCGGACACAGTGAAAAAGTTCTATGAGGTAAGAGTTTTTTACAAAGTTCAGCCTAGGAAGACAAGAAGGAGGGAGCAGGGAGAGGAGGTGGAGGAAATCATTAGGCTGCCTGCTCTGTGTCTGGACCTCGACATCAGTGGTCAACACAGCGAGGAGAAAGAGCAGAGGAGAAAAAAAGAATGTTTTTTAGTGTGGGTGGGGGGTGATGGGACAGAGGGCCAGGAGAGGGTTAGTGAGAATATTAATCAGTATGGTATGGGGGCCTGGCTGTCAGGGTCTGTGCTGTCAACCCAGCAAATTGGAAAACATTTTAATGGTTTTCTGTCCACTGCTCCCCTCACTACCCTCTCTGGCTCTATTGCATGCACACTAGTCATGGCACAATGAAGATCCTGACAAGTCTATGTGTACAGACACACACAGAAATAGAAGGAGAAAAGTAATCCTACCCACTCTAGAATATATTATTTAAAGCTCACACCTTCTGCAAACGAATGACAATTTGCCCCCGTGCCACAGAACAATATGCAGCATGTTTTCTTTACACACAAACAAGAATATCTTTAGAGACCACAGAGCTGTAAGAAAATGCTCCCGATACTATGAAAATAAGACTGCACCAGACCATGAATTATATTTGAATTTGTACAAAAAGGCCTCATTCCTCACACCTACTGCAGCTCTACACCAGTGAACATTTACAGAGGGAGCAGGCAACCTTTAGGGACCCACAAAATCTCTCCAGTGAAATAATTTGTTGCCCAATAGTTGCTAGGGTGAAAATGAACTAGGTCACCCTCTGCGCAGCTGTGATATTCAGCTGTGTCCCTGTCCAGACTGTTTAAGCTTAACACTAATGTTATGCTGACAGGGGTAGCATGTGTATTCCTATGTTTACCACTGCAATATGTGTTTGTGTATCCCTCCCTAAGGACATGGACGAGACTCTAGAGCAGACCAAGGAGATGAACCTATACTGCCACTTTGCCCAAGGGCTGGGGGAGGCCAAGTACATGGCTGCAGAGTCCTGGAGCAGCCTCAACAAAACCCTGCTGGAGGGGCTGGACAACTACAATGAGGTCAATCCCACCCTAAACCTGGTGCTGTTTGAGGATGCCATGGCTCACGTGTAAGTGGAAGTTTTGCAAACCTCTGGGACTGTGTGGCGAGACTACAGAAGGAGTAAAGAAAAAGTGTTTTTGTCAGGTTCTTCATTGTCTGAAAAGGAAAGCAAGTGGCTTCCCAGGTGTTTTGGGTCTTAACAGTTCCATTTTCCGACTGTCAAAAGAAGACAGGGAAATCAGTAAAACACCAAGCAGTGACAGGACATCATGACGGCCATACAAAAATTTAGAGTGGTGTAGTAGAGGTTCAGTGTAAAAATGTGAACAAACAGAAGTTTAGTTGACCATATGGTGTATATCTTTCTAATTGTCAACAATTCCCCAAAACAGACTCAAACCAACATCCCACTAACAAGTGTTTAGTGTGAATCCAAAGCCTGATACTGTATCATATTCATTGTTTTCTGAAAGATGTGAACTCAGGTGAATGTCTGCACAATAGGATCCAGACTTTCTCCAGAGAGAGGGGTGGTGCGACATGTAGGAGGCTGGACATAACGTTTTAATGCTGCTGCAGAGATCATGTGTTTCTTGTTGTAACACATCCACATCAACCTGCATCACCAAACAATTCTTTCTGTCTCTCATCAGTATAAATGTCCTCGTGTATGACTCCTCTCTTTATTTAAATATTTGTATCGCTTTGATCATCAATGCTCTCACCCGCCTTCAGTGAATTGTCCTGATAATCTCCTGCTGTTTTCTCACCTGGGAACATTCAGACAGTTTTTACCAGGGTGCTGGCAGCAGAAAGTCTGAAGAATGTTCACAGCAGCTGATCATTTCTGGAGATTATCCAGAGTTCAGTGCTTTCAGTCTGAAAGCAGCTAAAACCACATCAATGATCCACACATTGTAGTTTGTAGCTGTAGTTTGCTTTCATTCCAACATACACATACCATGCAAATACTCAAGAGAGCACCAAATATGCAATAAACCACCACTAACATTAGTCCCTTACAAATACACAGTTTACTCCCTTTAGAGTAACTTTTGCTAAAAACTAAAGTGTCCAGCTGTCTCAGGAAATTGCTGAAAATGAAAGTATATATTTGTGAGCAGATTTTAAAGATTTGCATCTTTATTAGAGGGCTTGAGATAAAATCAACATTCACAATAGGGGAGCAGGTATTGACAGACAGACTTACACTTTGTTGGCTTTGGGCTATAGATAGAATAATGTCTCCCTTATTCCTCGAGTCATGTAAACATTAACTGAAATCTTGTAGCAGCTCTAATAAAATGAAAGATAATGCTGTGTTGAATGGGTGGTACTAGTTTCTTTAAAAAGGGAAGGTGACGAGAGACAGTCTTCAGGTAAATTGTGCTGTCTTGCTTATTGTAAACAAAAAGCTGACTACAGCAGATAATATTTATTCTCTTTATTATCATCTGCAAGTCTCATAATGAAACCCACTACCAACGTATTTTTGAAAAGGTCCTTTTAGCTGTTTGTTGATCAGGAGTATTTTGTTGTAAATTGAAAAAATGTCAAAGGCAGATGCAGGAGCATGTTGCCTCTCATAATTTAATGTGTATATGTACAGTAGGCGGCATATTTTTCCGAAGGAAATTTTATTGTGCTTGCTTGTGTTGAAAATTGTGGGGGTGGAAAATGTCAGTGGCCCTGCGATACGACTGTAACTTGTCCAGGATGTATGTTGCCTCTTGCCCAATGTCACCTGGGATTGGCTAAGTGGAATATATAATGGATGGATTGAAATGTTAATTCTTTGCATGCGAAATATATATGGTGCTTGTGATTTTTATGTCACATGGATGAAAGCCATTGAAGTGTGAGAGATGAAAGCAGCTGAAGAGCAAGAGATACAAGTTGAACGTCAGCTGAGCTGTGAATGATGAAAGCAGTTAAATTTCAGTCAGACTGCGGCAGCGTGTGCTCTGTAAGCAGTGGCGCTGTTGGTCGGTGTGTGAGCAGTGACAGCAGTTGAAGTGTGTTGGTGTATTTCTTTTAGAATGAAGCTACAAAAAAGTGAAATGAAAATAATCTCCCCTATTCACAATGAAGACACATCTTTTCATTATAAACAAGACACATGTTTCTCAGGAGTCCACTACAACTGAGTCCAATGTTTAACACATTTCATTGTGGCACAGCTTAATGAAACAGAGTGATGAGGGCGGTGGTGACACGCTGTCTGAGAGCAGACAGCAGGAGGCAAAGGCGACCTGTGTGTTTGTTTTATGAGTCAGATTGTCTTCACCCTCTACTTTTCTCTTCCCTCATATGTCTGCTTTCTCCCTCCCCCATCTCTCTGCACCTCCACATGTAGCTGCCGCATTAACCGAATCCTGGAGTCTCCACGGGGTAATGCGCTGCTGGTCGGAGTGGGCGGCAGTGGCAAGCAGAGTCTGACCCGACTGGCTGCCTTCATCTCCAGTCTAGAGGTTTTCCAGATCACCTTGAAGAAAGGCTACGGGATCGCTGACCTGAAGGTATGAGGAGAATTATACAGCAAACTTACCTCTCTGCAAAAACATCTATCAACGCTGTTCAGTTTGTCTCATATTGAGTCTTAAAAAGTTTCKAACACACATACAGATCAGCCAGGTGAGGTTCAAATGTATACATGGTGGCGTCTGAGGCAAGACAGACATAATCCTTACAGTATGTTAACACTGTGGGAGAAATCCACATATGTCCTCACACTGACCACGTTTATACAGACAACTATATTTTAGCTATTGTTGCTAAAATAATTTTTCATTGATATCACCATTTACGTGTTACAGAGCAAAGTATAACTATGACGTCAGGCAGATGGTAACTGCCATGTCCATATTGTAAAATGCTGGGAAAACTCCAATCGGATGTAATAACGCGATGAAGACATACACGTTTACATAATGCAACTAAGGGTAGAATACTCCACATGTCTTGATTCAATTATTGCTTATTTCGAGGATGACTTTATTCAGGTTGAGGTTATGAGAAAATGCTGCCCACATGGCGGTGTCTTATTCACACTATTGTGTTATTCAGGTCAATATATGAATATTGATGTCCATGTAAATGTAGTCAGGTATTCAGGTCTCAACATCAAATCTTTAGGCCTCTAACAGCCTGGTCTCATTATGTGTGTCACCCTCCCACTCCATGTCTCTTTCTCTCTCCCTATCACCCAGAGTGACCTGGCATCCCTTTACATCAAAGCTGGCGTGAAGAATATTGGCACCGTGTTACTAATGACGGATGCCCAAGTGGCAGACGAGAAGTTCCTCGTTCTGGTCAACGATCTGCTGGCATCAGGTAACAGCAGGCTCCGCTAATTACTGCATGTCATGTTTTGCAACAGAGAAATGCTTTTGCTTCGCTGCAGCAACAAATCACTGCGGTGCCGCTTCTACGGCATCACCCATCAACCACAGCACATCATTGTGAGGAATTGCAGGCACGGCTGAGAGCCACATGTAGATTTATATGCCACATTCAATGGGCACAACACATAGCGTAGCATAATGAAATATTAGGGTAAATGATTCTCTGTATACCAATCTTAGCAGTGGAATCATTTGGTAGTTAGTTTACAAAAAATAAATGTACTAAATCATTTGTGGTAGAATTGGGAAAGATGGTATGTCAAGAGCGGCCAATAGAACATTAAAACATTAGTTCTAATTGAAATATTGAAAAGTAAGACAAAGCACAATTTATACAAGTCATAAGAAACACTTGCTCAGTTCATTATTCAGGAGTCTTGATTACTCTGACTCCTCTTTACTTACTACTAATGCCTGTGGTGATGCTGTCGAGCTACTTCAGAATTATTTCATGGCATTACTGCTCACTAATGCAAAAGGAATAATGAAAACATAGCAGGCCTCAAATATCCTATGTCTCATGTAGTCTATGGTGCAGAGTGAAGTTAGAAAACTTTGCGCTTATCCTACCTGGTTTGAATAATTTACTTTCAGAGGTGAGTTCAGCCATCACAACAAAATCAAAGCTCAGCAGTTCAGCTTGACATGAAGCATTGCAGCAACATAACAAAGTTATGCTTTTACATTTTAAAAAAATTGTTAAAGAGGTAGTGCTTCTGTGAATATTGTTGCCATGATGGAGATCAATGAAATCAAAACTTCCCTGGCGGAGGAAACAAAAGCATCCTACAACGTCACACTCAAAAACTGTGTCATGCATGTCTTTTTTAAGTAAACTACATATTTTGTTATTCCTCCCTAGTGAATGTATTACAAATTCAACACATAGAATTATGATGCATATTAATAATATCATTGATATAGCTTAAATATATAGTGATGTGAACAGACAGTGAGCCTGAGTGAGAATTTCTTTCAGATATTGTGCTTGTGGGAGACTGTTTGATCCAATGACCAAACTTTTGGAAATAACATTGGCTAAATTAAAAATGCTGACATCTTTTACCAGAGATTGTTGTAATTTGATTGTCATAGAAAGCATCAACTCTTCCCAGGAACTGCTCCTAAAGATTCTAAGAAAAATGTCAATTGTCAGGGCGGTGTGAACGCAAGGTTCTGAGTAATGATGTGAAATGACAACTGTTCAGTCTGAATGTCAGGCTGGCTTTCACTTTGGCTCGTGGATTATTTTCTGTCCTAATGTCACACGAGAGCAGATCTGAACAACTCAGAGGGGCTTAATACTGATGAGAGGCAACAAAAAATTAAACAAGAGGAAAAAAAGGGACACTGAACTCGGGCACCGACTATTTTTGGTGCTGTAGGAAGTCGACGTTAACATTCAGTGCTCTGCTCATCTCTGCTGCTGCGAGGCTGTTACTTACAGCGGATCCCTAGATTAGCATAAGTCCTCTGTATGAACTCCTGCTGCCCCCAGCTCTGTTAACACACCTAGATTTGAGTCTCAGTGTCAGTTGAGATCCTGACGAGATAAGAAAGTTGCAGAGAGTTCTCTCAAGTTTGAAGTTTAGCTCTTTAACAGAAAAACATTTGGACCTCTGCCTTCAGTCTCGCTTGTCTTCCTGCTGGTAATGTGCATCATTTTATCCATTCWAGGAGAGATTCCTGACCTGTTCCCAGACGACGAGGTGGAGAGCATCATAAGCACTGTGAGACCAGAGCTCCGCACCTCTGGATTGATGGATACGAGGGAAAACTGCTGGAAGTTCTTCATCGACCGCGTTCGCAGACAACTCAAGGTGAAACACAAGTATAGGACAAAAAGCTGTTTCTGTTACTTTGAATTCCACAACTAATCATCTAGAAAAAGTCATTCTCAGTGGTTTACCTCAGGGGCAAAGTTTGACATTAATCTCTCTCATAGAACTGCGTCTGAATTTGCTCTCCCTTCTGTCTTAATATAGCAATGGCATGCTGCCTCACACTTTCATTTACCATCTCGAAATAAAACAACCCTCAGACTTGGATAAACATCTGGTTTTATGATGAAGTCTCCCCCTAGACAATTTTCTTTTTTGACATTTTCAACCTGAATGCGTTGGACGCCATAAATATAAATCACCCGCACAATAGCTGCCGCTTAGTTGCAGATAATTTCACCAACGTGCAGACACTTTTTCCCCCCTTGGGAGAGAGGGATTCCAGGGGGTTGCTTTATCCTGTCATTATTACAGTGTGCACGCCCACACCACCGCCACCCACATCCTCCACCCCTGCCTGGCTCCCAGCTCAAGCCTCGCTGGGTTGGGGAGTGAATAAATGAGGAAGACAGTCCCATGGGCACGGGTTTGAAAAGAGTGGATTTCTGTCCCTGTTTCAAAATGAGTCTGCCTGGATGGAAAGAGCTGCTCCCTAAAAATGTTGTAATTCTCTCTAAAATGTTTGCATGAAATTTGCTGAGGGCTGTCTCACTGCGCGTAGCTCTGGGTACCGAGCATCTGTTTGCAAAAAATGTCAGGAGTAATGTCACATTATTATCTGTGACAGGGGGTCACTTGACAGGACCCTGACCAATCAGCAAAGGCTACGTTGTGACCGAAAAGACCTGAATTGATAAGCAGATGTTTCCAAACATCTCTGTTTCTGCCTGACCGGACAAAAACACCTCTGTTGCAGTGGCTCTATCACTCCAGAGTTCTTGTGGCACTGCACGAAACCTCTGTCACAAGTCGCCATGGTTTTGTATTAACAGACTAAAAGAAGTTATGAACCACTAATTGGACAAGCTGAACCTTATGATGTAGTGAATGACACATAGAGTCCCTCCTGATCAAAGCAGCTAGGTGAGTCAGTGTGTAAAACCAATATAATATGAAATGTAAAATAAAATTGTTGTTTTTTTCAGTTGTTTGTTGTTTCTGTCATTAGTCGTGTCTTTGGTTCTGCCTTCTGTGAGTTTGCCTCTTCAGTCTAATGCTCCCGAGCATCTGGCCGAGCTTCTCAACAAGCCAGCTGTTAGTCTCCAACAGCAAAAATCAGTCTGACACAGCCCACAGCTCAACACACTTTTAATCCACATGCTTGCTGGGGGCTTTATTTGCTTAATGATGTAGCTGCAAATAATGAATGCACAGTTTTCTATTCTCCCTCTTGACCATGAAGAAGTGCCGATCGGAGCAGGAATTGTTTTCTCTGTCTGACTGTGAAAGAAAATTATCTCAATTAGCTGCTATGTCAGACTTCACACTCAATTCTGTTTGACCTTGGTGTGTGTGTGTGTGTGTGCGCAGGTGGCTCTGTGTTTCTCTCCAGTCGGAAGTAAACTGAGGGTTCGCAGCAGGAAGTTCCCCGCAGTGGTGAACTGCACGGCGATCGACTGGTTCCACGAGTGGCCACAGGAGGCGCTGGAGTCGGTCAGCTACARGTTCCTACAGGAGGTGGAAAWYATTGAAGTGAGAGCAGCTCATACTCTAATACACACACAAGCATTAAGCACCCAAAAAATGATGTTCATGCCCTGAAAATATAATTTCAAATGTCAGGCACAGTGACACAATGAATGTGATATTAATTTCAAGAGCAARACCAGAAACCCATGAATTAAATTCAGAGCCTGAGCCTCAGGAGATATTGCTTTYCCACTAAATCTGCAGAGTCATCCGCTTTCAGTGTGAATCAGTATGTAACCAGCTCTGTAACTTATAATTCCCACAGCCTCAAGTGAAGGAGTCAGTCAGTAAATTCATGGCATACGTGCACATGAGTGTGAATCAGACATCCAAGGAGTACCTGGCCAACGAGCGGCGCTACAACTACACCACGCCCAAGTCTTTCCTGGAGCAGATCAATCTGTACCGCAGCCTGCTGGGTCAGAAGAGTAAACAGCTAACCAAGAACATGGAGAGGCTGGAGAACGGCCTGCAGAAGCTCAACAGCACCTCAGCTCAGGTACAGTACATCATCCATTTAAAACTTGACAAGATATGGAATGTTTCTCTTTTCCCAGGTTTCATGCTTAATATCCCTGTTTTTTAATTTAAATTCACTCATTAAAGACAGTGAAACTTAACCAAGCTGCATGTAATCTTAAAAAGGGTTTTCCAAATGATTTGTGTTCAATTATCGGCATTTAGAACTTTTGCTTACATTAAAAAGAAAGTTTCAGTAGTTCCCACTTGGGTCTAATTCTCATTATTGTATCTGTTACTTATATTGGTCTTTGCTAACCAGGGGTAGCTCCATTAGCGGATCTATGGGTGGTACCATGGGGGCACTGGCCCCAATTTAAATAAACAAGTCACTTACTAACAGTACTAACAATAAATATGGATTTGTTCTCTTTTTTAGGTATAAACTGTGCTTGAAAGGACCATTTTCAAAATATGTTCAAGCTCAAAGCTATAGAGCTAACAGTAAACAATAAATAACTTAAATGTGCACCTTACTGCCACAGGAAGGCATATAACTGTCTCTCCTGTGTAAATTGTGGCCCCTATTGTGGCTCCCTGATATTGAAAAATCTCACTTTTACAGGAATCATTTTAGATGCTTATATCTGAGCTTGATGGAAAGTAAACATAGAACATGTTTGCTAGATACACAGAGATCTACTATTGGGAGAGGTGACCAATCCAGCGGTTTATTATGCTCTGTTGATTGTAGCATGTGTATTTGCCCGAGACTTCTCCCCCAAATATCTAAAGCAGTCAGATTGATATCCATGATTCTAATCTGAGCACAATTAGACTCAGGTTAAAAAAGAAAACTTAAGTTTAAATCATAGAGTGGCTCCATCTGTGGTCAGTGGAACAATGAGCACTGCTGGCTTCTTGTCATGCAAGGTAATGAATCCCTTTCACCTGACAGTCCAGGTGTAAATTGCTTGTCATGAGATTTCTAGAATGAAAAGAAATAGCTGCTCTAATGATAGACATCCTGATAGATGTTTTAGGATGCACAATTTAAATTACATATTATATGAAGTGTCTCTACTCTCACCGTATTGGAACATTATTGTCTTTAGACAAAGGGAAGAAAATGTATACATGCTTTAATTATCCAACCCTGGGTTTTTATACCACCTTGTTTTTTTTTCCTGCTGTTACGCTCAATCTGTAGCTCAACCAAATTGTGCCGAATTCTGCTGCGAGAAAACTGACAGAGAAAAAATGCTCTTCACACATCAAACTGATCTCAGCTTCTTCGCACTAGTTGTCACTTTCTCTGACAAGCCACGTCTACATTTTACTAATTATGTGCAAAGCTTTACAGGCCCCAAGAAATGTTTAATGTTTTAACTGTCTCCTGTCCAAAAAGTCATTTTAACAGTTTCCTCTCCACTGGTTGAAAAACATACTAATATCTGTCTTTTGTCTGTAATGGGAATGGAAAATAATGGGTAGCCTATAGTTTTTATCTTCTATTTTATCAAATGTTTTAAAATTCTGCTTCAAAACACATTTATGAAGTCTGTGTGTTAATACATATCTCTGTACCAGACGTCATGTCACCATTTTAATATTCCCTCTTACCTCTTTTATTTGGTCTTTTCTATCTTAAAATTTCACCTGGTTTTCTTCTTTCCTTTTTCAGTTTTTCTTTGGTGTCTTGTTGTGGCAATCAATCTCCCCTCCATCATACTGTATAGTACTAGTATGGAGTGTAGATAATAGATGTAGTAGTAGTCACAGTGGAAGCAGTACAAATAATAGTAGTAGTCACAGTCAGTACTGATGCCTGGTCACACCAGTGTTTAAAAAAGTGAAATTCAACAGTGGAGTCAATTAATTGCAGGCAGCAGAGGATCCGTTGGAGAAAGTGAAAATTAATTGTGAGAATGTTTGGTGAGAGAGAACAATTTCGGTGAACACTGAGATGTGAATGTGTGCCAGCGATTGAGAGCTGGAGAGTCCAAATTGTAGGATTATATCAGAGTTTATTAAGAGTTTCTCACTATTAACTTTTATTTAACTCGTGTGATGGGAATTAATCGTACAAATACATCAGCATTTTCCCTCTTCGATGGCGTTTCATTGAATAAATGGTGATCAAAATGACGGGATGGAGAAAACCCTATAGAAGCTAATGTGACTAACAAACCAAATAGTGGTTACAAATGTGTGTTTCTCTGCACGTTTAACTCCTTGTCTTTGTCCTGATTAGTGATGGGAATTTTGGCCCTTTGAAAGGGATCTTAATTTCAGAGAGTTGTCGAACAGAAAAGCTGATTGTTTCTTTTGCATGTGTGAACTTCAATTGCTGAACCTTATGTAAATGATCTGCATTGTAAACATTGCACAAAGAGATTATTACTACTTATCACTGTAATGAATGAGGGGGGAGGGAGTGGAGTGTCTTCAGGTCAGTGACATTTGGGCACAATTAGAAAAGAGATGACTCAAGTAGCTTACGAATTGGTTCCTGTCGGTCTTATCAAGAGCTGTTGAAAAGAGTTGGATCGTTTGCGAATAAAACGTCACTAGTCCTGCTTCCTGCTGCTGTGATTGGCTGCCCCGCCCTGATGCGTTTCACCTGCGCCAAATGATCCTTCCCTCCCTTGTGTATTAACACCCTGTCCACATTAATGCAGATGTACAAACTTTTCCCTCTGAATTTGTGCAGATTTTCAGACACTCTGGTTTCTGTGTGTCCATGTCTCTATGTAAAACAGAGTATTTGGGAAATAATGATGTCACAGCTGACTTCACATATGCCCACTATTGCTTTGTGTAATGAGCATGCACCAGAAACAACAACAACCTCACTCCACAAGCTCATTAGGCATGCCCATAATGTTCTTCTCTGGTAATTGACGGATCATTGATATAGAGTTTATCGCCACCTACTGGCCTTGCATGCTTGTTTGAGCATTTGTAGTCATTTAGTGTTCTCGTAAAAAGAAGGTCATATGGACAGAGATCCTTTTTTAATGGAGGGGAAATTATCCGTCCAAACAAATTTCAGTAGTTGTGTCGACAAGGCTTAGTCTCTGTGCTCTCCTCTCTCCTTTGTCAGTTCTAATGTTTACATCCCTGGGTTGTGCTAGTGTTCTTGATCGTGTTCCTTGTGCTTCTGTTTTTGCTGCCATTCTATTCTAGTGTTCCTGTTTTGCTCCCTTTGCTTTCGGAGGTTATTTGATATCTGGAATTTTCAGTTTGCCCGCCTGTCTACAAAGACTGGAAGCCTGCCTTTGCTTATTACATTTCACTTATTTTCTCACCTGCCTTAGCCCTGGCTTGCTATTTGGGTCCAGTTAACTTTAAGCCTAACATTGTAATGCCATATGCAGCCAGTTACCCTTTTTAAGCTACTTCAGATGTAGAGCAGAAAAATACCTGGTTGACTTTTGTCCTTTTTATTTTATGTGAAATGCTTTTACACATAATTGTGTGTTTTCATCTCTAATATCTACACTTGAATCCATTTGTTTAGATGTTTGTTATCTACACACATGAGGCCCATGAATAATGCAACACAGGATCTGTATGGGAAGCAGCCCTAATTATAAATGGTCTATACTGTGCAAGAGAATGCAAAACCACACTCACAATTTTACTCTTACATACCATGCATATCCACTGCTTTGCATAAACATGCCCACACATAGCCACCCGCACACAATCGCACATGCATAAATGCCTCTCACATGCAGGTGACGTCAGGGTGTTGAAAGCCACGGTGTCCTGTGCTGGTTTCCCGTTGCACCGCATTCCCATTACTGTAGTAATGAAACACATACACACACACACACACACATACAAATAGAGGAGCTGTATGGTAATTGAGGAGTTTTTCTTTTTTTCTCTAATTAGAGTGCACACACTTTACAGCAGCAAGACACCATTAATGCACCCAGTGTTTGTTAGTGCATCCACACTGATGGCCACACAACCATAAGTACTGTTATTTAACATTCTGTGCAGGAGGATCCATGGCTCACCAGGGGCTGCTGTGGTCATGATAAACAAGGACCAGGAGGGTTCAAGCAAAGATGTGTGTGTGTGTGTGTGTGTGTGTGTGTGTGTGTGTCGGGGGTTACTGTAGGAGATGCTGTATGAGTCATCTGCTCCCCAGAGGACACATTAGTTCCATGTGTGTTTTTTTCCTCTTTAACTTTGCGGAGGTTGTGTCCTACCTGAGGCTGCTTTAGTCTGGATTAGTAATGTGTGTACGATTTTAATGCACGGCCATGACCGCCCAATCGTTAACATTAATTGAGACCCACGTAGTAATTTTTGATATTTGTAGTACTACTAGTATTAGCACTATTATTGTTTGTAGATAATGGTAATAAATATTAGTGGAACTACAATTTATAATCATAGCAGTAACACTAATAATAGTAGTAGTAGAGGTGGTAGTAATAGTAGAATAAGTGCATTTGACAGTGGTAATAGTGGTGGTGAGAATAAGTTTAATGGTTGTACAAGTTTTGTTGGTAATACGAGTAAGACTAGTTATAGTATAGGATTAGTAATATAGTATGTGTTTACAGTCACTAGTGGTAGTCGTAGTAAGATGTTGGAGCAATAGTAATGGTAAGATAACTAAAAGTCATAGTATTATAGGAGCCCAATACTAGCATTGGTAGTCACATGAGTAGTGATTGTTGTAGTTTTATTGGTGATAGTAGGCAGTTGCATTATAGTAATATTAAGCAGGTATAATAATAGTCATTTTAGACAATTGTAGTAATACTGTTATGAACCAGTTGCAGAAATAGTAGTATGAAGTAGGTGTAGTAATAGTAGTACTTAACAGTTTTATTAATTTTGGTATTTAGCTGTTGTAGTAATACTACAACAAAGAAGTTTAGAGATGGTAGTAGTAAAGGTTGGTAAGTGGTGGTGGTAGCAGAAGTAGCAGTAGTAGTAGTAACAGAGACAGTATTAGCAGTAGAAGTGGGATCATTAGTGGCAGTGTCAGTGATAGTAGTAGTAGCAGTAGTAGTTTGTAGTACTAGTAGTTGTTGTAGTAGTTTTTATAAAGACTGACAAGGAGCAGATAGACACGTTTTCCTGCTTGATTTCCATCTGCAGTAGATAAACAGGAGCCCAGATGTATTGAATCTCACCCATGTCTCCCACCAATTAGTTTGTCCCTCTTCTCCCCCTCCTGTCTCCTCTCCACCTATTCATCATGTTGATGGCTCACTTGGTGCTCGTCTAATGTTCGACTGAATCTTTTGTGTGGAATCGTCGCAACCCGAAAGGACTGTCTTCCCCGCGGCCTGATTTCCTGTTTGTTAATTAGCTGAAAGACAAGCATGAAAAACAGTCCGTCTTTATTTCCCCAGTGCAACATTTTGATGGAGTCGGACGGTAATGCAGAGCCCTATTTGTCGGGGAGTTATGAGGAGTTTGTAACAGCTTTAATTTCTCTTTATGGCCGTCCTTGGTGTGTGCATTTGTGTGTGTGTGTGTGTGCATTTAAGTGTGTGTTTTTTTTGCTCATAGCAGTTCTTGATCCTGAAGCTTTTATCTTTTTTCCCCCTATATGCATGCCATTCATCTTTTTCGGCCTCTTTATCTTCTTGGATAGAATAAATGTTTTTTTACTAATAGATTAAAGGCCATGCATGATCCTGGCACAATCCTGCAGGGCACAAACTGTTATCGCAGAAATCATATTACTAATAAGATCCAACATTACAAACAATGAGAATTATTATAGATGCAATTTGTGGGTTGGCAGGTCAGCTGCCCAAAATGAAGGCCACAAGCAGTAATAAGCATTTTTAAGGATTGACACTTACGCTATCGCCAGCATGAAGGCATACAAAATGTCACCTCAGACACTTGATGTGTACAGGAGATAGTTGATTGCTTTAAGACAGATAATCAGGCCGATTTTAGACCCGATTTGCTCCTTCCGATGATCGCGGAGAAGTTCCCGACTAGAGGTCACTCTGTGCTGAATATGTGCCCAAATAACCCTGAAGTTTGGGGGGTTTAAAAATAATCTTAAAAATATTGATTGAGTTGGAGCCTCTCCGATCTCGAACCCTAAATATAAAACATGTTTATGATATACGCTCCTTCTCAGCCATGACTATACCCATAGTTTAGTTTGTTATTTTGCTGCAAAACAGAACAAAAGATACAACGTACATACTTCGGTCCTCCTCCATGTTTGTTTCTCTTCTGAAGTTTATAATGCGAGCGTTACACACTCCAGTTCAGGACGTTGCAGTAATTCGTCTAAAAGTTGTTTGCCAACCGGTGTTAAAAAACTGGAGAAGAAGAAGATATCATGAGTTTCTGTGAGATTTGAATCACCACTGTGAAATCAAGGCAAGTGTTTGGTCTGACGTTCTGGCCAAATCATCCAGTGTGTGTGTTCTGAAGATTGTAAGATTAAAAATAGGTTGAATCTCTCATTATGTCTGTCATCAAGAGGTGAAAGTCCTCTACTGTGCAGCAGCCCTCGTGGAAGATTTCCTGCTGTGTTCCATTTCTGATAGATGTTGTCCACCGAATGTAAAATTGTGTAGATTCCATAAAGCTGTATACCAAATTTTGTATTGGTACAGTTGAAATCTAAGAAGTAGACTTCACGTAACTGTATTTTGTATTATACAAAGTGGCTAAGTTCCATCATGGGGCCCTTTATTGTCTAAGTAGCTTTTTTGAAAAGTTTATTGAGTTAGATGTACTGCAGAGGTCGAACTGTTAATTATATTGCCCCTATCAGGTCAATTAGAATCATATTTGGCAGCCATTAGCATTTCTCTCCCAGTCATGGTGCCAAGTTTCATGTCTGTAGCTTCTCAAAGCTCACGGAAGGAGTCGTATAAATTGGACGATATTGATGAGCAGTCCATGCCCACATTCATCAATCAAGTATTTCATGTATTGTGTAATGCTTGTCCTCAGAGCATGTGCACAAAATTGGTATAATCAGTCATTCAAAAGTGCCTTCATTAAGATAGTAATACATTCATTAATGCCTGTGATATACACATTCTTTGCTATTCATGACAATACACAAAATAAGATTTGTATGTTTCACAGTCACTTACTTAAGTGTCAGTATTAAATAGCATAAATTGATAATAATATAAGAATAGTTAATAATGTAACAATAGTTTAAAGTACTTGAAAATGATATAAGTACCATCGCTACATAGATGACCCCTAACATTTTAAAAGCTTTCAAATCAATGAAATTACATAGATTATATTTAAAAAATGCCATTTTGCCAACCAGTTCACTCTAAATAATCCAGTAAAAATTAGTCTCTTAGATTTTTTTGCCAACTTGCTATAAATCAAAAACAGAAATCTCTTTCCTTCAGGTTTAGTGAATATGATCTACAGTTACTTGATCCACGCACATGGCTGTAGTATCAGCCATTACATCTTCCTGATCTCCTGGCCTCCGTGTCTCATTCTCTGATAGGTGGATGACCTCAAGGCCAAGCTGGCTGCCCAAGAAGTGGAGCTCAAGCAGAAGAACGAGGATGCTGACAAGCTGATTCAGGCAAGAACATGTTCTCCCTCTTAAAAACATTGCAGAAACTGTGTTGACTTCTGTTCACTTACTAGTGTGATCTGGGGTTTGGCTTTATTTGTCCAGGTTTTGGCATATCTGTCTCTGAGATTTCTTCTGCTAACGAAGTTCACTTTTGGTGCTCAAAGACATGAAATGACATTTAAACAAAATTCAGTGTCAGCTTGTCCTTCCAGAAATGTCCCTGCCAGTTTGGATAATCCATTGATAGATTTCTGGTGTCGGATGTAGAAACTGCTCAGTACGAGATGAGAAATTCAAAGAAACATGGACTTTGATCTGATCTGTTTAAGCTTTAGCTGTAGATCGATCTCTGCTAGTGAGAGGAATAAACATTTGAAAATGTGAATTAGCGTACTGCAGATTTTGTCAATGCACAAGTAACTTAGATTCCCTCTTTGTCACGTCTTAAGTTAAAACTGAACACTGGATGACGTCTTACATCATGCAGTATACACATGCTGTGAAAGCCGAGCCTCTGTCTGAACTTGCACCATTAACTGTCCGTGTTCTGTCCACAGGTGGTCGGGGTAGAAACTGAGAAGGTGTCCAAGGAGAAAGCAATAGCTGATGAGGAAGAGCAAAAGGTGGCAGCCATTGCTGTGAGGGTCASTGCCAAACAGAGAGACTGTGAGGAGGACTTGGCCAAAGCAGAACCAGCTCTCCTAGCTGCTCAGGATGCCCTTAACACTCTAAATAAGGTCAGTAACTCTCTTATCCCTTCACTGTGTCTTATTGATTTGTTCAATCATAATTTTCTCTCCTAGAGGGTTTGTGTTCTTTTTCCTTTTTCTGATTTCATTTTCCTAACTTCTGTGGACTAGATTATGTCCACATAGGCCTTGAACTGTATAAAAGATTATTGAATCACAGGACTTTGCCGGGTTTTTGCGAAAATAATGTCTTCTCTATGTTCTACGGACATTTCATCTTCGCATCCCATGTAGGTTTATGAGCAGCCTAGGGAATTTTCAAAAACACCCTCTGTTTAAAAGGTGCTCTCTGCTCAAACAAGCAGAACAGACAGTTCAATCACTGCTTAGAGCTCTCTAAAGATGCTCTAATTAGTATTCTCTGTTGTCTTCTCAAAGTCAGCACAGGTTCTCCTTCCTTTATTCTAATCCTTTCCTTTTTCTCTCTTTTCCCCCTCAGCAGACTACAGGGATATGCAGTTGTTCAAAGTCCATTAATTCATACCTCTTTCTTTTCCATCCATTATTCCCTCTCTTTTCTATATCAGAACAACTTGACAGAGTTGAAGTCATTCGGCTCTCCAGTGGCCGCTGTGACGAATGTCACTGCAGCCGTCATGGTCCTGATGGCGCCTCGTGGGAAGGTCCCCAAGGATCGCAGCTGGAAGGCTGCAAARGTGATGATGGCCAAGGTGGACGCGTTCCTGGACTCGCTCATAAACTTTGACAAAGAGAACATCCCAGAGGCTTGTCTTAAAGCTATTCAGCCCTACCTCAAGGTGAGTGTTTCAATTAGCCCTTATTCATTAAGTCAACGCTAACAGTGCACAGTGTGCTATGTCTGCTGCTGGGCAAGTTCAACTAATAAGTCATAAATTTAGCATGAGCATGATTACAATGACGGCACCACATTATGGCTGCTGAGTGTCCAAATGACAGCCAGAGAAAATCAACTAGTTAATTAAGCGTTACAAATTTAACAGCCGCCCTGATTATGAAGTTCACTGGAGTAGAAACAAGGTGCAGCAGATAAAGCCTCACTTCTGTCTAAATTCTCCAAGAACACCACCTCCCTTTAGTTTCCAGAGACATTCATGACTTATCATGTTTAACACGGGTTTTCTAATAAAGAGCTGTATAAGCCTTCAGGCGTTTTTTTTTGCTTAAGTCTCAATTTGTGAACTTATGGTTGATAATGTTCACTAATGTTGGTACATTCTGATACTGCTGCCTAAGTGACAATCATTTGTCAGTTTATTGTCCTGATGTATTAAACTGGTGTTTGACTCCCATTCATTGTTCCAAACGGCTTCCTATTCACTATTGTCTATTACCCTATTCACTATTATCTAACTCTCTCAGCAACACACATTTGAAACCACTGTTGCTTGCATGTATTGAATCATAAATGTTAATTCTTTGTAGTCAAAACAGGCATAAGTAGAACAAATGTCAGAAAGCAAGCTTGCAGATGGAACATGCAAATCAATTTAATATTCTTCAATTGTTATAAGCAAGTTGGGAAAAAGGCAAAGTGAATCTATACCGCCAACCAAAAAACCCACAGCAGTGACTAATACTTACATTTGCAGGATAATGTCACTTTGATTATTAAGAACACCCTCCACTTAGTTTGCTGTCATGTGCTATCATGCAATGTGTGTCCATAACAAAACCAACAGAAGGTTTTTTTCAAGGTCAGAAAAAGACATTTTCTTTTTTCTGTGATAACACATCCTGTGATAGCTTTTTAGCCACATTAGCTCCAGTTTCAGTTGGAGGCAATGTGTGAGTCTCTGCATTAGATGTTTGATACAAACTAATTGAAACCTTCTTTGCTAACTTTTCCACAATGAACTGGCCTAAATAATGATGAATAAATCCATAATTTGAAAAGGTTTCTTGTTCGCTGACAGCCAGTGTTATTATTTTTCATCATGTGTGTTTATTTACATTTTTATATATACAGTGGGACAAATGTCAGAAAGACATTCTGGTCTCAACTCAATTTTGTTGGTGCAAATATGTAGTTTCTGTATGTGCAGGGCAGTATAGCAATTTATTTTCAGCCCCTTGTCTCACTCTAACTGACTGTAAATTGAAAATGTTATATTTTGCATTTGTTCATGTTTGCATTCATCTGTTCGTCTCCAGGACCCAGAGTTCCAACCAGATCTGGTGGCATCCAAGTCGAATGCAGCAGCCGGTCTGTGCTCTTGGGTTTTAAACATCGTCAGGTTCTATGAGGTTTTCTGCGAGGTGGAGCCCAAGCGTCAGGCGCTGAGCGAGGCCAACGCAGAGCTGGCTGCTGCACAGAAGAAGCTCACTGCCATTAAGAGCAAGATCAATGTGAGCCACTCTGCTGTACTGAGTTATTGAGATATGTATTTGCTATATACTAACTTTTTATTTCAGAGTAATACAATTCAAATATCTAAAATCCAGATTATATGTTTTTTTAAGTTTTATCACCTTTATATCACTAGATTTGCTTTTCTTGCCTTCTAGTCATTTCTTTGACAGGACGCTAATGTTTGCATCTGGGAATTTTTTTTTTTGCACAAAAGAGTGCAGGCTGAAAAATGACTTCTGAAAGACAGTAATCTCAGCACCTAGCTATGAAAGTTTTCTGAGACATCAGTATGGATCACCAACTCTATCAAACCCTGAAGATAGGCAGTATAATAAGCTACAGAAATAAAACAAAATAAAACAGCAACAACCAAAGGCTATAAGCTGGAGCCAAACTTCAGGATATGAATTATTTTATCAAGTCTTGAGTGACAGTTGACACACGAGCCATGCCAGTAATGATATACCACCAGCATTTCATCAATACAAAGCTGGTGTAAGGGCTATTAAAGGATTTTACTGTTCATTAATCTAAAACCAAATCCATCAGCCTAAAAACTCTATTGATAAAAGCAGCTGTAAATAATTGTTTCTCAGTGGAGTTGACATTCAGCACAGAGAGTGGTGCCCGGGACTCTGCTGCTTATATCAAGCCCTGCAGAGTGCAGAGTGACGACTCTTAATAAGATCCAGCCTGACTTCTTGCTGTCATTTTTCAGCCCTCAGTCAGATCGGTTGAGCGGAGATAGGGGTTCAGAGCCAAAGGGAATTAGCAATCCTCAAACTAATCTACTGAACCTGTGTGCCTCACCACCGATTAATCCTGTTTGTCCTTGTGCTAATTGCTTCCATATGCCAAATAAATCCATAGCGGAAGAGATCATAAGTTTTACCCAACTTTTCACACGCTCCCAAGTTTCTTTCATAGACAGACTTTAGTCGTTTTTGTTTTCTGTCTTTGAGGATTATTTATGACCATGTTGTGTTTTAACGACTGCCAATTTGTCTCTATTTCTGGATGTGTGTGCATCTGTGTGCTTGTGTTTGTGGCCTATCAGCACCTTAATGAGAACCTGGCGAAGCTGACAGCCAAGTTTGAGAAAGCCACTGCAGACAAGCTCAAGTGCCAACAGGAAGCAGAATCAACCGCTCGGACCATTTCTTTGGCCAACCGTCTGGTAAGTAGGGGAAACAGTGGTCTCACACAGAGCATCCGTATAACATTCACACAGACACACACACACACACACACACTTTCTTACACACTCCCTCTTTCATATAGATACTGATGTATATATACTTACAAATGATTTTTAGTTTGTTAGCCTGGCTGTTTTTGTCTTTCTTTTTGTGTACTTGTTTAGGGGTATTAATGAACAGATGCTCTCTCAACAGATAAAAACAGTATTCACATATTTGATCAGCTCTTCCATCCCCTAAAAATGTCAAACCATTTCCTAGCAGTAATAACTCATTCAAATCAAATCACACAGACAGCACAGGCACTTCCATTCTACCTGTCATTACTTTACACAGCAATATTTTACATTCACATTTATTTATTTGGATTAATGATTTTGTCTCAAAGCAGATGAGGTACCATCTAAGCCACAGAAGCTGATGTAGGTTTTACATGTAACCTCTACCTTCAGCAGAAGATAGTTGCATTGCTTCAGATTAAACCACAATAGTAAAACTACAGTTGCAACCTTAAAATGTTGCTTACACATTATTATAAATACTGTAATGCTGTATTGTAACAAAACACTTACAGGGGGGCATAATGAATACTTATATTTTTTATACTTTTTAACTCACATTTTGCTGATAATACTTAACTACTTTTACTCAAGTAGCATTTTGAATCTTTAGGCATCTAAGTACTTCCCCCAGCAGTGACATATAATGTTTACATAATTATAAATGGCCAAAGAGAACTCTATGCAGAACAGAAGATTTCTTACAACTTCTGAAGACAAAGAGATGTGGATATCTTGTAAAATAAACACATTACAGGGATAGTTCATCCAAAATTGAAAATTCACTCATTATCTACTTACCACTACACTGATGGAGCAGTTGGAGTTTCAGGGGTAAACAGCATTGCAGCCAAATCCAATCAAATTGAAGTAAATGGTGACTGATTCTTCAAATGTAAAAAATTCAAAACAAAAGAAATGCATCCATACTTCTCCTGGGGTGTCACCAAATTGTCCATAAGCCCGACATTCAAATTCGACATGAAACTACGTAATTTACAGCATGTTTTTAGCCGAAATGTTCTCTGTGATACACACGATCCATAATAGGATATACCCCTGAAGCTCCAACAGTGTTTTCATATCATCCACCCCTCCATCGGCATAGTGGTGAGTAGTGAGTGAATTTCATTTTTGTGAACTATTCCTTTAAGAAACTTGTATTTATAGACAAATATACAGTAAATTATTACTTCATATACAACAATTTTATCACTGCTCGTTATTTTAGCCGTCTATTCCATAGGTGCACAGTATTTATATGTATACACATGCACTCACATATAGAGCCTTCATAAATCCCTTCTTATCTGCCAGTTTGTAAATCTCCTGCTGACAGCAGTAACACAAAATTGGGTGGTGACACTGTAATAATAACAATTATTCAAAAAAATCTTCTGAAAGGCCCGACAAGAGCAAAACAAGAACAAGGGTTTGTACTCGTCTGCTAGTCAATCACTTAATATCAATGCAAATGCAGGGAACCTGCTCAAGTGTACAGTGTTTCCACCATCTGCACCAAAAAAGCGAGAGCCTGTATCAAAGTGTGGGGCCTCTCAAGTTTAGAAGAAAGAAGATATTAAGGTGAACTTTTTGTTCCCTGGGGGAAATTGGATCATTGCTGCAGTAGGGAGGTGTGGAGAGGATATGAAAACCTAATAACAAAGGACTTGAAGGTAGCATGGACTTCTGGAGATAGAATAGAGATAGAATCATTTAGATTTGATTTTTGATGTTTGTAGTGAAATTAAACAAATAAATCTCTTGGCTCTCGGTCTGCGTTTCAGGTGGGAGGTCTGGTCTCGGAGAATGTTCGCTGGGCAGAGGCCGTCGAAGACTTCAAGAAACAGGAGAGGACCTTGTGCGGGGATGTCCTCCTCATCACTGCCTTCATCTCTTACCTGGGATACTTCACCAAACATTACAGACTGCACCTTATGGAGAACACGTGGAGGTCTTATTTCAGTCAGCTGAAGGTGAGAGGCCTCGTATTTTACGCCCTGTCCACACTTATTCGGGTATTTTGCAAAACGTTTGGGCCTCTCGTCCACACACAAATTTTAGTGACAATAACATCCCAGCATATTTTGTACATTCCAACTGTTGCTTCATGTAATGAGTATGTGCCAGAAACAACAAAAATGTCAAAGAGCCCTACAATTATTTGAGGGCTCTAAAATAGCCTAAACATGGTTGTTGCTTTTCTTACATGAATGTGGCATCCAGATTTCATCATGTATGATTCTTTGGATTTTTTGCCCTATTATACCTAGGTTTAGTTATGCTGTTGCATTCAAATACTTTGTTACAACAACAGTTGTAAAAGAGCCACATAAATACGATTAATATTTTAAGAAACCATGTCTATTCTTCAAGTAAGGCCAGGAAGGGCTCAGTAATCTACTTTTCATCAACATAGCTGGCAGATATTCTTACTGTATAGTTCCTATAGTCCACAACAAAATACACTATTTTCAGTGTGTGATGCTGGTGGAGGTTGTTGTAAAGAGAGCAGAACTTTAATCAAGTTGAAGAAAGGCTCAGTTATCTTCTCTTTATTTTACTCACACATCTAACAAAACCATCTCCACTTGCAAACCTGCTGCTTTCTGCAATCACTGCTGTCTATCATGCTGAATGAAAGAATGTAAACAGGATTACTCCAGTTACAGATTGTATTACAATTGTCTATTTATCAGTGTAAAGGAAACTTTCCCATAGTTAGTCTGTCAGGCGTTGCCATCCCTGCACACCAGGCAATAACAGTCCAGATTGTTCATGTTTGTAGTCCCTTAATGATGGAATAAGTTACCGAATGCTGTCAAAAAAGCCATTCCTCTCTCTCTTTATGGATCTCTTGAAGACTTGTGTGCCTTACCGGCACTTAGCGTGCACATTCACTGCATTTCTTTCCCTGATTTCCTACGATTTGGTTTATGGAAGAGATGTAGCACTAATTCTCCTGTACTGAAGCTTCAGTGTTGTCACTTTGGATAAAAGTGTCTGCCAGATCAGTTAAAGCTTATGTCAAGAACACATTTAGCTTTGTACTCCACTGTGTTTGGAGAAGACTAACGCAGTGCCCGTTGTAAACATGCCTGTTTTGAATGGGCTGTTTGCTTAGCCTGGGGTAATGCTGGTTGAAAACTATAAAAGTTACTAACAGCAAGTAAAGATCTGCTGCAGTACTCAGTCCAGAGAACCCTGAAGCCACCGCTGCAGCACAAAGAGCTACAGAAGTTGACTCAGTACACGGAACCCTGAACTGGAGAATCAGTTGTTGCTGCTGTCATGATTGGCAAAATCACTTATGTTGATGAGACCCAGCTGCCGTTGCTACAGGACATTCAGCGACTGTATATTCACAGTGTATTAATATTGAACGTATTATGTGTGAGCTGATAAGAGGAACTGTTCTCGAGACAGACAGACTGTGGATGTAGTGGATAGCAGTTAAAAAGAAAACATGTATGTGGTCATATATGACTGACTAATATCCTCTGTAAGGTTCCCATCCCGGTGACCGCTGACCTGGACCCTCTGACCATGCTGACTGATGACGCTGACATCGCCACATGGCAAAACGAGGGCCTGCCTGCTGACAGAATGTCCACAGAGAACGCAACCATTCTCACCTCCTGCCAGCGCTGGCCCCTCATGGTGGACCCCCAGCTGCAGGGCATCAAATGGATCAAAAACAAATATGGGGAGGACCTGCGTGTCATCCGCATCGGACAGAAAGGGTAAGAGGCTTTACGGTTAAATGTACACCTGTCACTTTAAAAAAAAAAGATTTTTGCAAACATGAATTCCTGCTGTTCTGCCCTGACAGATACCTGGATGCCATAGAAAGTGCACTGGCAGCAGGGGACGTGGTTCTGATAGAGAACTTGGAGGAAACACTGGATCCTGTACTTGGACCTTTGCTGGGCAGGGAAACCATCAAGAAGGGCAGGTAAGCAGTTTTACAAAAGTTATTTACTTTCTAAAACTTTCTGTTGTGTATTCGATCTCAGTATTGTTTTGGTACCTGGTGAAATGTGTCTGTATTATTTAAGTATTGAAAGTTGAAGCCACAATGAACACAATTGCTGATTCTGTACTATCCCCTTAAATGGTGTCTGCTTTGCCAGTGAATCTTTACTTCCATTCAGTCGCTCTCTCTTACCCACACAGGTACATAAAGATCGGAGACAAGGAGTGCGAGTACAACCCTAGTTTCCGCCTGATCCTGCACACCAAGCTTGCCAGCCCTCATTACCAGCCGGAGCTGCAGGCCCAGTGCACACTGATAAATTTCACAGTGACCAGAGACGGTCTGGAGGACCAGCTGCTCGCCGCGGTGGTCAGCATGGAGAGACCTGACCTGGAAGAGCTGAAGGTAAGAAAGTCAGAATGTCAGACATATTTAATAACAACACTCAGGCCCAACAGTCCTCTTATGAAACCACATTTAAATTCACTGGATCTGGATTTTCATTTGGATCTGTACCAAATTGCACACACTCTTATATATCAGTTCCCTAGACATGACAGATTTTTAAAATCAAGATCCATGAATTATTCCCTGACAAATCAAGGAAAATGTTGAAAAATGCCCTATTTCACATTGAATTATTCATGTCCCAACCATCCACAAACCTTCAAGGTAATCTGCTGAGCAGTTTAGGTATAATCCTGCTAAATAACAAACAAACAAATGTAGATGGGAACTAGAAGCAGGGAGGTGATTCCTGACAGACTAATATAATAACCAGACTACTGACAGCTTCTCCATAACAATTCACTATGACCTTAACCAGTGCATGTTTATGTCTCATGTCGTGTGACCTGCAGATTGTGGACCAAAATATGAAACTCTCGTTTTTCTACATTTATAGAACAGATTGCTTGATTGAATTCCTCATGGGCCTTTTACTTTTTACTGCACAAAAACGAATGAGCTCAGTTTTCAACTGGAGATAACATCACTTCTTATGGTTCACTGTGTTCACCACAGCGTCTCTGCTCTGATCGTTGTGTGTGAGCGTGAATCAAGTTGATCGTCAGCGTTTGTTTGTCTGTGTGTGTGTTAAAGTGAAAAAGAAAATCCTGGATCTGCTCCCTGATCTAGTTCTGCACCGATATTTACTGGGTACTTACCTGCCTCATGCATCCTTCCACCAAGTTTCGTGGTAATCTGTCTTGCAGTTTATACATAATCCTGCCAACTAAGAGACAGACATACAAAACGCACACATAACCTCCTTGGTGGAGGTAACTATGAAAGCGTTTGTCTCACTCTCCAGGTGCTTTCAGAGAACAAACAAACATTCAACGATGGAGTCTTTGAGTCCATCTCTGAGCGTTTCTTTTGTGCAGGTGTAATTAAAGGAAACAGCCTGAGGAGTCACAATGCCTGCAGAAGCAGGGCGTAGCACTCTCGCTCCTCATTATCCATCTTCCTACACAGCGGCAAGAAAACCTCACCTGTCTTTTAACATCACAGTAAGCTGCGTGTCCAGGCCCTTTGAATCCCAAACAATCAGCTGGTGCCTTTGATTAGCGGCAAACTAAGTGGATGTGTGATAATTATTGGGCTTCGGATCCTACACCTAAGGAGACTGGGACCCCGGATGCCTGTGTGTCTGTGTGAGATTGTGTTGGTCTCTGTGTGTGCATGAGCTCAGGTGTATAAGTGACATGTCTATGTGGAAATTCTATTTCCATTTCAAATGTGCTTTTGACTTGTAGTTTTGAATCAAATGCAGCTGCTATACGCTCCACTATGTTCAGTAACTTTTTCTGCCACTAGATAAGAGGCAGGTGGGTTAATTAAAGCTTTGTCGCCCAAAACATCTTTATGAGACTGAAATGGAGGCTGAGACTGAACCCAGACAGGGAAGTTTGGGACCATAAGACCAAAGCAATGAGCTGAAAGACAGTAAAACGCCTCAGACAGCTAAAGGGATCCACAGCGTTGGGGGATTCTTTATTGGTTTGTCCTTTCAGGTGATTTCACATTACACAACATTTTGTAAATACAGTTTCGTGCTCCATTGCTATACAGCACAGAGAGTTGTCAGACTCAATCTTCATGAACAGAATTAAAAGCTCGCACAGACAATGGCAAATATCAGAGGCCATAAAGAAATTGTTTTATGTTGTTTCATATGGATTATTATGAGAAACGTATTTACTTAGTGAGAACACTGCTGCTAGGGATAAACTGATAACCAACACGTATTAACCGATTAACCATTAACTGACAAAATTGAAATGTTATATAATGGACGATAGGTTTCTGACGCTTTAAAAAAAAAATTTTTTTCAACAAGGGTTTAATTTGTTAACGTTAACATGTCACTCACACACACACACAGACCCATCTGTCACAATCAGCAGAAATGCAGTGCTCCAGTGGACCATCAAAATATCCATAGCTCCATGTTTTTAGCGTGCAGCTGTCTGTTTAACTTTCTACTTTAGCTGTGTGTGCAGCGACGGGCAAGCAGTCGCTCTGATGAGAATGAGAGTAAACTCCATGTGAACACGTTCAGTGCAATCAACCCTCAGCAGACATCTTTTCTTCTGGTTTTTATTCAGAAATAGCAACATGTCCTCATGATATGGGGACAGTCTGGTGTGCAGTCTGTTAACTGTGAGATCTCCAGTGGAGAATGCCTGCTCAGATGGTACAGATACCCAGGGATCACTCAAAAATGTTTGTGTCGGTTAATGGTTAACCGTTTGATAAGGAACATCCCTATTTTAAACTAAAGCTACAGGCTTTCATCTTCACCATTTAATTATTTGGTAATTCTGTGGAAGTAGTGAAGATTTTTAATGCTTCATGTAATGTTTGAAAGTGGTAATCTTTATGTATCGTCCTTTTTTTTAATCATCAGCCATGATGTCTCAGTGAGCAAATCACTATTTGTGTTATGAGAAAACACATTCCTTTTTATGCAAAAGCCTTAAATTTAATTAAAAGTTAAAAATGAATTAAAATGCTCTCATGTAATCTGCTTTAGTTTCCAGCATCTTAGATTGTTTGATAATAGACAGTATCAAAAGTATTTATATTTGAATGTTATGGCTTGTAGCATCCACGAAGAATCACCCATTCAGACAATAATCCATTAATCCTAAATAAAAAATCTAATTAACTTTGAAGTACTACCAATTTAACACTGTGTCACAGTCACCCTAGGTACTGTTCCTTTGACACTCTTCCATTTATCATCAAGCTCCAAGAATTGTGTAATTGTGTCTTGATGGTATCCTCAAGGGAGTTTCATCTGGTTTTTTATCACTTTGGCAGGCTCATTTATGTTCACACATCCACATCTACCTCTCCAAAATCAAAGCAGAGGCAGATACGAGACGCTTTAAGATGTTTTCTCTTTTTTAATTTAAATGGCTGTCTTTGTTGCGTGGACCCTTGGCCCTTGACTATGAGGAGGAGAAGGCTGTTGTTTCACTCTTTGATCAGTGTCGCTGTCACCAGCAGAAGCTTAAAGCTGTCATTGCTGGTCAGAGTTAATGGCTATAGCTCTGTACACTGTGTACAGTACAGCAGGTTCCTGGCAGCTGTGCGACCAACTTCCAAGACGTAATGAGCAGCAGATAGTTACGATATTCACAGCACGGTCCACGGTGTGAATGTAAATGTTGGTAATTAAGCAGAGCTCCAGAGCCTAATGATGCTTCCCGCTCGTCTCTATCGACAATCCGCTCTTTTCATGTCAGATGTTTGAAATGGATTGGCCAATGGCGCTACTGTACCACAGCAATTAGACAACACATTGACACACTTCCACTGTTTCTTAAGTGCGTCTCTTGTTAGTCGAGGGCTGAGGAGAATCCGAAAACCCTCTTCGTTCTCGTCTGGCTGACGGCGGTGTCTTTAAGAGATCAGAGCGGAAGATAATGTGGGAACTCTGTTAATGGGTCAGGAAGATTTACTCTAACACAATGCTATTTGCATTTTAATGGCTTTCTGGAGGGCGCCCTTGTTTGCGTTGGGGCCTCTTCAGGCAACGCTTCATTCAGACCTGTAGGCTTTAATCCACGCACAAATCAACATTTTTAATAAACGGAGGGGGGGGAGAAAAAAACACACCAAAATGCTGGAGTTATTTTAAGTGTAATGTCCCCTCAGCAAGTAAAATGTGATTTAATGAAGCATGTTTAATTAGCATTTCACTGAGATCGGAGGGTGAGGGAAAAAAACAAGATCTGGAACTCACTTATCATTTTAATTAACAGTGAAAGTTGAAGGTGGGTGGTGGTGGTGGCGGGGTGCTGGGCACTCTATCAAAACACGGCCTGCAGAATGAAGCGCTTTTTGTTGTCAGTAAACAACCAGGACTGATAACTATCGCCAGACTGATAGCGGAGCTCAAATTGGCTGTACCTGTTTATATTTTTTGAATGACTCCGTGTCATTATACCTCTTAATGAGGTTAGCGTTGCTCCTGAGCTGTAAGATGACTACTGGGTGAAAGAGCTCTCATTTAACCGAGCGAAAGACGGGCTAAGGAGCTTAAAATGTCAAGTTGCCTTTTGGAGAGCGCACAGGGGGAATCAGTCCACAACCTTTTATCACAATAACAGTATCTGGTGTCTTGTCCTCCCTCTCCTCATATGAGTGTGCATGTGTGCATCCTTCTGCTTGTTTGTTCCGGCACAATCCTTGTCGGGGCATTTGGCGTTAATGAGAGCTAAAAGGCTGCACTTCCCAAAGTACCTTAAGTGGCACTCAGTGATAATTTGCCTAAAAAAGAATGATAAATGTAATATCTTATTTTTATTCCAATTAGGGCATTCTGCTGACTGGTTAATTGTTTATTTTTCAAAAGCAAGAGTAATTACAAGTACAATGTGCCGTCGGAAAGCGAATCTTTAAAAACTGACTCATTACTGGATCCAGTTGGGAATGTTTGAGCGTGGATAGTGTTTCCCCTCAGGAGTTCCGAGTCTGGGCAAGCAGAAGGTCACAACTGAGTCACAAATGTCCTCAGTTAAATGTCCTCCACTCAAACCAATTTTGTGCTTTTTCTCGCTGCTCAGAGTGCAGGACTGTCAGGTCTTTTCCTTAAAATGCCACAAATCACACCAGTTTTGTTTCCCTATTTCACTTTTGGCAGAGGAGAAGTTTTGAAGTATGGAGTGAGTAATAATTTCAAATACAGAGCATGTAAGATTTAACAAGGTAGAGGCTCAATTAGTTTTAACAATGGTGTAAAATACCTCTCATCACCGCAAAAGGAAATACTGTCATAAAAAGAGCAATTAAGCAGTATGATCTTCTAAACTATTTGCTCCCCTGGCGTGATTTTAAATATGTATGTCTTTTGTCATGGGAACATAATGACGCAGGGACCAGGAACAGCTCCACCCCCACTCCCCGCAGCAACCTACCAGCTCCCCCGGTGATTGCACGGGGGCAGGAACGTCAACAGCCAGAACACTATTACCGCGGCCTGTTTGGGATCACGCCACTCAAAAAAACGTCAGCTATTATCAGTCGCCAGCAAGACTGGAGTTGGCAAATCTCACAACAGCCCATCCTCCCATAATTACAACAATTCAAAGGTCGCAGAGGCTTCTATTAAAGGAAACTTCAATAAAAGCAAAGTCATTATCGAGCAGAAACAAGAAGCTGCAACGGACTATAATGAAGGACAAAGCTGGATGAAGCAAAAAAGAGAAGCAACCATGCCCTGTCGACTTTGTTCTCCAAACGCCTCTCAAACAGCACTCTTTGAAAAAGTTAAAGTTTCTCTCAGTGAGAACAAAGACAGAAAAAAAAGAATGGTTTGAGTTAAGCTTTATTAGACGACGGGGTGCTCTAATCCATATGGTGAGGTGTGAGCAAAACCCTGTGACTGAGCTGCGTGTGTATGCGTGCTTATTCTGTCTGATTCCTGTATAGGTTTATAATTAAACCCATAATGCCATGTATCTAATGATTCACAGTGTGTGTGTGTGTGTTTGTGTGTAGTTTTCCCATCAAAGCTCCTTCCCTCGAATCGACGGTCTCATCATGCCAAGGGTTGGGTCGCTCAGCAGGTTTGATGTTGGAAACCAGACAGCTGGCTAATCCAGCCCAGAGCGCTTCCTTTATGGGTCCAGATAGCCGATGCAAAGCATATTGATTAGTTCTGCCTTTGAGGTGTCCTTCAGTATTCATGTCCTCATATTGACCCACACCTTGAACATACCCTCTCCGCCTCAGATTATGATGATAAGGCCAGAAAAGAATCTGACAGCAAGCATATGGTGTATATGAGAAATGCTCTGACATGCAGAATCTGTCAAAGAGAAAGTTTTTGTGTGTTTCTGTGTTTCTTAGTCCGACCTGACGAAGCAGCAGAACAGCTTCAAGATCACCCTGAAGACCCTAGAGGACAACCTGCTGTCGCGTTTGTCCTCCGCTTCAGGAGATTTCCTCGGTGACACAGAACTGGTGGAAAACCTGGAGACAACGAAATGCACCGCTGCCGAGATCGAAGAGAAGGTCCTTATCTTTTTTTTTTTATTCTTACAACACCTTGTCGTGTTATCAGAACTTCTCTGATCCCATCAACGCTTAAGATTACAGATCACAAGTTTCAGTGCAAGTATTTTGTCGATAATGGGAATCAGTAAAATAGTTAGGAGATAGGTCATAACTTTGTGTTTAAGAGAGACTTAAAAACTTGACTACACATTGACTATTATTGTAGTTAGTAGGACACGATAGGAATAGTTGAGAAAATAAAGTTTTAGTCCCGTTTTCACCCTATTTTCACTGTATTTATATATACATATAAGTTGACAATGGGACAAGAGGCGGGGTACACCCTGGACATTTCCCCAGTGTATCACAGGGCCTAGCAACCATTCACACTCTCATTCACACCTACAGTCAATTAAGAGTCACAGTTTCACCTATTCCTGATCTGCATTGCTTTGGAGGTGGAAGGAAGCCAGAGTATGCAGAGAAAACCCACAGGATTTGGGGAGCACATGTAAACTCTACATAGAAAAACCCTGAACTGGGATTCAAACCAGGAACCCTTTTGCTGCGAGACAACAGTTCAAGTCACCACACAGTCTTGACCAATATGTGAAAACACATATAGCTTGATTATCAAAAATATCAAAACATTTCCTTGTTCGTAAAATTGTGTTTCTTTTTTAATGTTTCAAAAACTTGAGCTCATTTCCAATATATACACACACACAATACTACACTGAAGACCTATCTTCAGCCCATTTGCATGGTGCTGACACCCAGTTTCCAGGTTCCCTTTATTATTTGTATTTCTTCCTTTGTTCCCTCTTGTAGTAAGTATTTCATTGGTAACCTGTATGTGCAAAATATTCACACTGTAGTTTGTGGACTGCAGTCTAAAGCTGCTCTATTTTCCCTTCTTTTTGATCGCCTTGCTATGTTTCTCTTTTTTGGTCAGCAAATCAGATCACGTTAGTTTAGCGGATCGTCTCTGCCAGGGAAGAATCACTGACGTATCTGATATTTCAGAGCACTTCTAAGAAAGCTCTGTGTGATGATTTGAGAGTGTGCCTTCTGTCAGGGAGGAGACGAGTGCTGCCTTTGCAGATGTTCATTCTTAAGAATAATTGTGCGGGCATTTGCTGGCAAAAACAGAAAAGTCTCATAATCATCATGTTCCACGCGGTGTGGGAACATATTCTCTGGAACCGTGAAATTGGAATAGCTCTGCTCTTTACTGGAGGGTGTTTTATTGGATAGTGCACAATTTCATCATTAGCTGACTGATGAACCTTTTGTGTATGAATATGTGTGCAGATGTGTGCTTGTGTCTGTGAGTGTGATTCCCTCTTTGTTTGCACTGTCTTTACTGTAGGTTAAAGAAGCCAAGGTGACAGAGGCCGAAATCAATGAGACTCGGGAGCACTACCGACCAGCAGCATCGCGGGCTTCCTTATTGTACTTCATAATGAACGACCTCAATAAAATCCACCCCATGTACCAGTTCTCTCTCAAGGTACAGTATACTGTCTATTGACCTGCCATGTTTCCTCCCTGCCTCACGGGCCCCCTGTGAGACCCCTCTTTACACTCACTCCTCTGTTTCTTCCCTCCCTTCTCCATTTGCTCACCATGTTTTATGCTCTTTGTCCTGCTTTTATTGTGTTTGTGGCTCCCTAATGTGGTTATGTAGAGGATAATGTCTTTCATATTGTCAGCCAGCGATTGCTGAGAGGAGGCAGCCTGAGATATGGTTTGCAATCACTCCAGACTCTGCAGGTAGCTGCCCTGGCCCAAGTTATTTCCCAACGTAATCAAATGAAAACACATTCAGTGTTGATATACCTTTGACCTTCCGAATGAAATGAAATGCATTACAGTATGTGTTCTTCACACCAGGTATGAGCAAAGTGTGACAGGTAAATTGGCAAAAATGGCACTGTGGTACTCAGAGTAGAAGATAAAGACAATTATTCTATCACCTTAGTGACGTTTGTATTTATAGTCACACAGGCATTTTTCAAAGAATTCAGTAAGACTACAACTTAGTAGTTTTGATCAGTAGTGTGTGTAGCCCTCATACCTGCACTGCTGGATATGTTGAAGAAATCGTACCATAGTAATCACCAGCCTGGTCACAAGTCCAACCATATAAAATGAATTTCTTCAGCAGCCCAAACTTTCTCTGTTAACACCCTATACACGTCAGGAGCTCACACTATACATTAGACGGAGACGCAGCTTCAAGGACAAATCCCATGAAAAGACCAAAACCAACAGTTTGTTAATCCTTCTTTCAAAACTCTGCCATCTTATGCTGCTGGTGCCACTCAGCCCCAGACCCATTGATTCCTGTGGAAGGTGCAAATCTTTAAAGCTGTCCTAATCAATGTTTCATATTAATAATGGGTGAAAGTGTAACGTAAAAGAACTCAAACCCACAGCAAATGTTGAACCTGAAACTGCAGTTTGTGTGAAAGTCAGTCAAATGAGGACACAGCCGCCTCAGCAGCAGTTCCTGATACTACAGGGACAAATCTTGGTGGGCCATAAAGTGGGCTGCCGTAACAGTGGGCCGTCAAAACATCCATCCAAATTCTTACCATGCAGCCCCGTCAGTCTCTTTGCCCCACACTAGTAGCATACACACCCCCATGCACTCACTTTATCGTCGCTGCTAGTCTCTTGTCTACAGTCCCTATCAATCCCATTCAAAACTACACACGACCCTGGCGGCAAAGGAAGGGTAGAGTGCTCCCTATCCTTCCCCTGGTTCTCTTGACTTAAGCAACTTTGTTTATTTCCAATCACTTCCCATAACTTTAATGCTAATTTTGCTTCCTGCTTGCTATTTATGTGAATGGGCAACTGTTGATAAACATGTCAACATTGTGAACAACAATATAAACTGCATAAATTGATGAAGGAAGAAAATTTGTTGGACTATTTTCAGCAATACTCTAATACCCCAAATGTGTTGGTCCACTTAGTATTTCTGCCAGCAGGACAATGTATGTGGGATTGAGTCAAAATAAAATGCAACGTGCCCGCTCATGGTAATGAGGGAATATATCACCTGGTGTGGCACACTGATGTATTTTTAATGGTTTTTGGACAACAATTGAGCTATATATCAGGCATGGATACACACACACACACACACACACACACACACAAACACACACACAGTACGTTTCAGCAGGATTCATTCTTTGTTGGTTTTGGCCATTTTTGAGATTTAACAATTAAAAATAAAAATTAGTATCAAGTCCACTAACTTACATTTACGACAATAATTACAGTCATGCATACTTGTATGACCTGCAAGAGCATTTCAATCTACTACAATTAAATGCTTTTCATAAAAGCCAGAGTCATATTGAATAGTCCACGTTTAGGACTAACGGCATCATATCTATCATGTCAAATGAAACGGATGTCCAACTTATAACTGAGCCACATACAACACAACAGTTAGTTATTCATTCATGTCATTTGATGTATTTGCCTCTATSTTGTAGAAAGTGTCSCTCTTTTTGACAGTATTGTTACTTTGTGTTGTGTGTCAATCCACAGGCATTCAGCGTGGTCTTCCAGAAAGCGGTTCTGAAGGCCGAGCAGGACGATACTCTGAACCAGCGGGTGTCCAACCTAATTGACAGCATCACCTCCTCAGTCTTCCAGTACACCACCAGAGGCCTGTTTGAGTGTGACAAGCTCACGTACATAGCTCAGCTCGCTTTCCAGGTAGGAAGGGAGGCCAGTTTCATCTTGGTTTGTTTTTGAGAACAAGCTGGCCATTGAATCAGCTGTTCCTGAGACCAGAGGACCTGTCTGGATTTAATCAAGTGGAAAGGAAATGGAGTGTGTGCTTGAAATACAGAATCTCAAAGTCATCTATGTTTGTTGTGTCCCCAGATCCTTGTGATGAATAAAGAAATAAACCCTGTAGAGCTGGACTTCCTTCTGAGATACCCTGTCCAACCAGGTGTAACATCACCAGTAGATTTCTTTTCCAACCACTCCTGGGGCGGGATCAAGGTACGGAAAGAGGCAGAGACGGCTGTGTTGTTGCCGCTAATGAAATGTAATGACTGTTGAGAGGAGCTGATTTCTTGTTGTGACTCGCAGAGGTAGAATCAATTAAAATGTCTTCTAAGTGAGTGGTCAAATGAGAATTAGGTGATGCAGGATCCTTGGTGAAGTGGTGACAACATCCAAATTAAATGATTGGCTGTCATACCTGTCTGTCATGAACCAACCTGCCTGCCTGCCTTCACCGTGCCCATGTTTTTATTGCACATGACCGGCGTCATCAAGCAGTTAGCTAGCCAGTCACGGAAAAGTCGTCTCCTTGCCGCTGTCAGGCGGTTTGCTTCCATGTGTTTTGGCAGTGTAGTTTTAAGGGCTGATTGGAGGGGGTAGGATGTATCAGTTCCATTATGTCAAAGTGTAGCCTACTCTTGCTAGTTTTTTTCAGGATTTCCAACCCTAGCTTTAATACAGTTTATCCAAGAAACATATTTGAATTAACTACCCACCCCTCATGTGATATTTCAAGGTCCAGCACAGCTAATGTGAATCCTTTCTCAGCACTGGATGGTTTCAAAATTGTCAAGTAACTTTATATAAAAAAAAAAAAAAATTCTCTCTCTCTCTCTCTCCATATATATATATAATGATAATCTACAGTCAAATAGTATTCTATTCCACATGAATTGGGCAAACTGAATTTACTGTGAATTGAATGAATGCAAAAAGAATCAGTAAAAAACTTTAGTGCTAAGCTCTGTTAATTTAGCTAAAGCTGTTTTTACATGATCAAATACTCTCTTTTATCAAGAGATCAAGCTCTCCTCCTGACATTCATAAAGATGTATTAGAAAGCTACATGAAGACATAGGTAAATTGCAAATCAGCTTCATTTTTGGAGTCCCATGTAGCTGCCCCTCAATGTTGAAATGTCAGAAAAATGGTCTCCAGTCGTAAAAAATGTAATTGACTCTGATGCCTTTTCGTCCACCCTATCATGTATGAGAGGCATGACTGAAATCCACAATTTCCCTCAAGTTATTTTAGCACTTGGTTGCTCTACCCGGTGTGTGCAGTTGCCTCTTATGATGCAATTTGTGCAGCCCAGTCTCCTGGCAACAACTCTGCTTTAACTTGAAAACACACTTAAGGATTAATTGAAGTCTATTTTCTCTGTTTCACCCAAACCTCTGGTCTGACGGTATGTGATTCTTGGGCCCGTGCTTTGCTCCATGACCCTGGTTTATTTTAAAGCAGCAAAGCTATGCATACCCATAATTCCTCTTAAAGGACAAATGGGAGAATTGCCAGACGGCAAGGCAATGCTGTGAACGTCAAGCAGCAGAGGTTCCCTTGCATGTCAGATCAGTTTGGCAGCAAACTTAACCATAGTGGTAGCATGTTTTTTTTTTTTTTCCCCCTCTCATGCTCATGAATTTTTCAATCTGTACTGCCTAGAATATTAACTTAACCTAAACTCCTCCAAGGATTCAGAGACGACCTTTCTCCGACTGCTTTCAACCCACCGTAGATGTTTAAACTACTGCTAATCAAATTGTGTCACCCGATTTTCTTATTGCAGTTGGAAACATAATCAGTTGGAAAGCTTTAACGGAGGTTAAGATCCTCTGAATGCTACGCTCTCCTGAGGATATTAACAGAGCAGGAATCCCATGAGGCCGAGTGTGTTCTCCCCCCACTGGGGACAAGAGGTTGCCAACCGCCTGCGGTAATTAAACAAAGTTGAAGTGACAGACTGTGTGCCAAGCTATTTCATCTCACTCAACCATGCAACCATTCTAAGTCCTGGTTGTGGGAGAACTAAAAACTGCTTCTTTTTTTTTTCCGTGGCATCTTGTAGCCTACTCCATGTGTCTGCTGTGGGAAGGTTCCAGGACCCTCCTCATGGTTTATACAGTAGAGCAGCTGCTGGTAGTGTGTGTGTGCGTGCGTGCACACTTGTCAGGGAGTATACCTGCTCGCGGCTGCACTGTGTGACACTGCTGTTCTCCTCAGCTGAGATAACATGTCTGTCAGCTGGGGCATCACAATAAACCCCCACTGGTTCTGCAACGGATGCATATTCAGTCCTCCCCACCCCCCACAACGTTCTGAAAGGGATCGTGTTTACTCAGCATTTCCATTTCCGAATAAATATTATTTATATAGGCATGAGGAAAGATAAGCACTCCTGTCTAACTTTTTTTGTCTCTTTTTCCCCTCCAACTTCTGCAAACAAAGTTAGTCCTTTTTTGCTGTATTTTGCAAAATGGCTCTGAAGTGGTCAAAAACTCGATCACAGTGTCGCAGCACTTTTTCCTGTATGAATCATTTTTCTTTTCCTCCACCAACAGGCCCTGAGCACCTTGGAAGAGTTCAGAAACCTGGATCGAGACATCGAAGGTTCAGCCAAACGCTGGAAGAAGTTTGTGGAGTGCGAGTGTCCTGAAAAAGAGAAATTCCCCCAGGAGTGGAAGAACAAAAATTCGCTTCAGAGGCTATGCATGATGAGGGCTCTGAGGCCTGACCGCATGACGTACGCCGTAAGGTGAGAGGTGGAATCGTAGCTTGACGTTTGATCTGTGATCTGTGAAGGATTTTACTGACCTGTGCTCCCTGTGAAAGGTTACAGGTTTAAACTGTTCAACCTTTGACTTTAAAATCTGAGTTGACAGAGCACCTGCTACAGGTCAACAGAAATAACTGTAATTATACAACTTTCCAGGTACAATCAATAAGCCTCATTATTAAACAAGAGAAACGAGAAACAGCCCTCACCCTCTGTCTCGAAATGTCATGTCAACTGTGGGCACAGTGTTCACCTGGTATTTACATTCAATATCTTATCTGGATATTGAAATTCAGACAATGAATAAAATACAGCCGTTATCAGACATGACCTCCAGAGGATGTCCAGATAATTGGGTGCGGACTTTAAGAGTTTGCCTTTAAAACATGAACAAGGCAGCAGTAATAGAAAATTCCTGGAGAAAGTCCGGAGAAAGCCCAGAGACCCTCACTCATTCAATTGCGTTTTCATATATAGCCCCAAATGTCAGGCATTGCACTGTACATCTAAAAGCAGCTTAAGGCAACACAATTTCTCATGTATTGACCAGCCGCTACAGTGTGGTTTATATTGTTTTCACTTTGTGATTGTATGTATATGTATGTCTCATGAGTATTTCAATATGAAACCATTTTGATTCGTGTCACTGTGGTGTGATCCTATCATAGCATTATCTCTAATTAATATTTTGACTGTCAGACAGGAAAAATAGTGCACTAATGAAGATTTTTATGTTAACACATGATAATGTGTATAAAATGTGTGATAGTTCCTCTAAGCTGCTAAAGTAAGTATTAAACTGCATTTGTGTTGTGCTTCCCATCGTCAAAAAAAAATCTGCTAGCAAAGATTGAAATGTGGAATATGTGGAATGTCACTAATATTTAAAACAGAAGGATTTGGTCAGAACGATGGGGGGAAAAAATTGTTTTAAATGCAGACAGATGCAGAAATTGAAAACAGCCACTGACAACACAGTTGCGGCTAGAGATAATATAGTACCTGTCTATCCAATGCACTATACTACAGAGGCAGCAGACTCTTCAGCTTATTTAGCTTGTCGGTCAAAGATAATAAAAACTGTTGAAAACCGAGTCGTGTTCCCCCCCACAGAGATTTTGTAGAGGAGAAACTGGGAAACAAGTACGTGATTGGCAGATCCCTGGACTTCGCCATCTCCTTTGAAGAATCTGGTCCAGCTACGCCCATGTTCTTCATCCTCTCTCCTGGAGTTGACCCTTTGAAGGATGTGGAGAAACATGGTAATACTCTCGCTTGTTTTATCTTTAATAAGCTGTAAAATTCAGCCTCAGAGTGTTGGACTTTATCAGAGCCGACATATTGCCGGTCTAGCAGTCATTTCTTTACGTGGTGGGAACATACAGGATTTTCGTTGAAAAGCCTGTTGAAGTTAAGCGCACGCTTACCTGCCTCCATGATTTCCACTTTGATTCTTACTGCACTGGAAAGATAGTGCTGTGTGACTCTGCTGTGATATCTGCCATCTTTGCCAATGCACTACAGGCTCTGGATAGATTGAGGAGATTATACTAAAGGTCACAAATATATGAGACAACACCACTGGTGTATTAGGGGCAGTGAAAGTAAATGTCATTGGTTTTAGAGTTACTTTACATTCCTTATGAATTGTGCGGATGGCAGCAGGGTGTGCTGTTTGATTTGATTTGGAGTCAGCAGGAGGAAATATTCAGATTGCAGTTTACTGGAACTGAGAGGTTTCTACTTTAACCAAGTCCCTTTAACCAAGTCCCTGAACATTTTGCAATGTCAGTATTTCTGTATTCAAGTAATTCATCATCTTATATTCATGTTCTGCGTATGTATGATTTTCCCTTCTTTGTATTTCTGTTTCTACTTGAAAGTCCCTCTTAAACGAATGGATCAATATCATAGAGTATTTTCAACAAATACAGCTGTTACCCAGAATGCACGGTTGTTTTGGAATATTTTATATGCCTCATCTTGACAGAGACAGGCAGCAGCAGGTGGTTAAATCAACCGTACACCTGCTGTAGACAGGCCCTCAACCCCAAATTGAAATTTGCCATCCTCCTCCAATTTGATATGAGGACACTCTTTTCCTGGAGCTGCCTGTAAGCGGTGTGATCATTGATTATCTGCACCCTCACTCTGACTGTAGTCAGTCATTTTAAATAGAAAGCTTCAAGTAGTCAATTGCTGCAGATGTGGACAGAGCGTGTTGATGGTGTGAAGCAGCAACCTGAACCAGGAAAAGGTGCTTTGCTATGATAGCTGTGACTATTGGGTTTCTCATTGGTATTAGGCTTCAATTAGATTTTCATTAGATAGATGATGTGATTTTGTTTGCACTGCAGGGGACTAATATCCCTGAGATAGACCTCCGCTATCTGCCTGCTTTCACGTTGGAGTTTTAATGAAACAGACAAGTAATTGTATTGTTTGAATGAAATTTAAGGTGGACAAGGCTGAATCACTGACCATCTGCTGGCAGGGAAGTTAAACACATACTGTGACATTTGGGGAAATTTGCTTCATTTAATTTCTTTCTGAAAATTAGATGAAAAGATCAATATCACTGTTATCTCAACGCAACTGGAGTTTGAAGCCTGTTAACTTTATTTTAAACTGTGATGAATGTCCATTCATTACATCACTGCTCATTTCACCATGATATTAATGGTGCTGTTTCTGTTTTCAGTTCAGGAGTAAGCTCGGAATTGGTGGTGTATTAAGTTTTGTTTAAAGCTTTTTATGGGATCGGTAGCTCAACAGTCACCTTTCTGAAATAGAATCACCTCAAAATTATTGCAGCAATAGCCCTGGAAAAGCTAGCAAGAGCAGGTTACGATATGCAACCCGCATTCTATTATCAGCCCTCTCATCAAAGCTACACCCCCAAAACACATGTTTGAAAACTTTATTTATTGATGGCCATCAGGACATGAAGAGGATTTCAACGAATAAGATTAAAAAAGTGTCTCAACTTACCAACCCTACGGTTAATGATCTTTTACTGAGCATCTAAGCAAGAAGAAATGTATGCTTAACCATGCAAACACAACAGCTGGGCAAAAATGCCACTGATTCACCCGAGGACACTGAAGTGTTCTTTGGAAGGTTTGGAGGTTCTGTGGTAAATATTGTTTAGGAAACATACGGAAATAGAAAGTGTAGCTCCGTCAAATGTGCCCTTAAACAACTGTGTATGTTTAACATAACACGTGCAAACAGAAAACCAGATGCTTTAATTCAGCAAGCAGTTCTTCACTGAGGCCTTGCAACATCTGAAAAGTCCTTACATAATAATAAAGTTGACCTCTTTATTTGCATTCTCAATCATAGTGACCCTGATGTCTGAGTGGCTACTTTATACATTATATAATTAGAATGCTGTGTGATTTGACTAAAGTCTCATATCCCAATAGAAATCATTCATTCATGTACCCTTTCTTGACCGTGTACATTGAGGCCATGTCTTTACAGATGTGAGTAGCAATGGCAGCTGTTACCTCCTTCCATCTTCATGACTCTTTGCCATATGTTGTGCTGCAGGCAAAAGCCTCTCGCAGCGTCAGAGTCTGGAGTCTGTTTTGAACACTCGACTACTTTTGTGTCTCTCATCCATAACTCTCTCCTTACTGTTTGACGTGAGTCTTGCGTAGGTACAAGAGGGTAGTGATGTTTTTTTCAATATGTTGTGGGGACTGGTTTG